ATAAAGAATGAAATAAAAGAAGTTCAAATCGAAAACTTGTCATGATCATGCTAATGTATCAATATAATAAGAATTAGAATTTAGTAATATTATACTAATATATACTAATATATTATACTAATTATTATACTAAATATTAATACTATATTAAATATTATACTAATATATACAATATATTATTCTTGATTAATTATAAAAGTAGATTATTATTTCATTAAATTTAAAATATAAATAATTATTATAGAATGAATTTATTATAGAATATTGTAAAGAATATAATAAACAACATGCGAGAATTAAGAGAACAGTGAAGAATATAGAAGATAAATTTCAATATTGCCTTAGAATTTTAGTGCTTAACTTGTCAATTTAATTTTTAATAATTTTATTCAAAGAGATATTAATTATATAATATTATATCCATTTTTGGCAGTGGTGTAAAAATGGGCATGCGGAACTGCGTAATACATTAGGAAGATTCTGTATTTTTCTTATTGTAACAATAAGTGTAATGATGTATAATATAAGTATCCTTTGTCTAATCGGATTATTATATACATTTATTGATTTCTCAAAAACCGAAAATATTGACGTTTCCATTATGATCATCTTTGCGATTATACGCGATATATTTCTTGTTATTTTAACTAAAAAGTGCGAAGCAAAGCTAGTGATCAACAGTAGTAAAAGGTACATTTGAATAATTAACTTTATAACTTATTTTTGTATTTACCTTTAGACTTAATTATCAAACATTTGTGGAAAATTGTATTTCAGTTTATGCATTTCATATGTTTTATTATTTATTACCTTAATTTTAGTGTCAATTATAACTGATAGATTTGTAGTATTCTCATAAAAACCTCAGTTATTTGTCGCTTTATTTAAAAAAATATGAATATAGTTAAATAGAATTCAAAGCTACATTTCTAATTTAATTTCAAATTTATTCATAACAGGTTTAATTATGAAAATGATTAATGTTAGAAATTTAAAAGTTAAAAAAGAAAAATTAACTTTAATTTGATTAATGAAATATGTAGAAAAAAAGATAAATTGATAAGCTCTGTACATTAATAAAGTTACATTTATCAAATAAAGAGCATTTCAAACATGAAATATTAAAAATATTTTAACAAATATAATAAATATTTACAGAGCAAATAAAATAAATTCTCCATTTTATTTCTTATTTGTTTCCAGATTACAGTATGCTTATCGTATGTGGTGTAGAGAAAATAGTGACGCAAAAGTGATAAAAAATTTGCGTTTTAACGAAATCACAACTTTATAAGTTGTACATATCTTATTACTCGATATATTCTTACCTCTCCTATGACAAGATTATCAAAATGACGTCATTATATTGAAGTAATGCAACAATGAAGATAGAAAAACGATTATAGAATCACTATTATTAAAACAGTTTATAATTTTACAGAGGAATAAGCTTTTTACGATAGAATAAACACTTGTTTTATTCTTATATCTTAAGAAATAATAATTTATTAAATGTCAAAATTAATTCAAAAAATTACTGTTTACATATTAACATAAAGAAGAATTCCTGTAATTAATATTTTTAGAAGTATAAAAAAAAATAGAATATGACTAGGAGTATGTGTAGATTCTAAAAACATAAAAATGAATTACATATCGCCTTTATATTCGATACATTCAATATATTTTTGTTGTATATTATACCAAAAATGCATTAAAACATGCATTAATACATTTTTTGTTATATATTAATAAAAATAAGAATTTATATTCACTGAATGTATATTCAATATAGCTGAGGAATAGGCGTAGAAATACTCAACGAGATAAGTATATTGTGCAATAACTTATGTAAATAAAACAATGCAATTAAGATATGTATTTTAAATCTTTTTACTAATTGATTTATTAATTAAATAACTTTTTATTTATTTTAATATTAATTTATTCAATTATTAGTTAAAAATTAAGATAAATAAATTTTTTTATCATAAATAATTTTTTTTAATAAGTAATTTTTTATTATAAGTAATTAAGTTAACTTAATAATGTTGTAAAATCGCAGCATCTTAAAATTCCGGAAACAATGCGATAGAAAAATGTATGTAATCATTATTAACGGTTTTGAATATGTATGCATATACATATATGATTTTCATGTAATAAAAACATTTATTTCGATTTTGTTTTATTTGCGAATAAATGATCAATACATTTTTCATAGCGTATGTTTCGAATACAAAGAAAATATATATAATTTCCATTTCCCATTATTTAAACATTTTTAGAATCTACATGTATTATTAGAATTGGTATTACAAAATTGTTTTCTGTATGCAAAAATAAAAAAATCTCATGTTTTTAAATGTTTTACAAATATATGCATATTTTTCTGTAATCATTTTCATGCATTTGTTTATAATTATATCATACTATTGAACAAAGAGATTTAGTATACCTAAATACTTTATAGTACTTATTTTATAATACTTATAGTTGCCCAAAATTTATATCATTAAATAGCAGATGATCGTAAATCGTATCATAGAGTTCATATATCATATGATCACGTCTATGAATCATATATTAAAGAACTGTTAAAAATGCCAACCTAGAATTTCAAGTGATGCGTAAGCATGATTATCGTAATTAATTGTGTTAAAAAACATTTGCCGTTTTTCAGCTGAAGCTAAAAGACAAATGAACCTGTCTACAACTGCAAATTTGAACAATTTGATAGTGAAATAATAATCCACGAACAAATATTTTATATCTCTATAAAAATTTCCAATGGAAAATTATATTGTAATTATTATAAAATGATTCCGACAATTTTAATTTTAATAATTAAACTATTTTGATTTTTAAACTACACGATTTTTCTCGATGTAATTTTATATCCTGTACTTTGAAAAAGAAATCAATCGATTTGTGGTTTCTATGATCTGCAGAAAATGAATCTGATGCGAATGTTTTAATTCTTTGGTTACTTTGATCTCGCAGGACAGAAATTTCGTGAAGTATTTTCCGGTATTAAAACTTTTAATTCTATTTTTAATCGACAATTGTGTCGATCGGATTTCGCGATTTGCATACGTACAAACATATTAAATACATAACAAAGATATATGGAATTAAAGAATTTATCATAGAAAAAGAAAAGAAAAGAGAAGAAAAGAAGAGTATGATTAGTTTATCGGTGGCACAAGATTCAGCAACTAATTTTTTTCGAGAGCATAACTATAAAATTCGAGTTATCTGATCTTTCATCGTTTTTGTCATCCGCCGATCTTATGTTAGATAATTTTTTATTTAACATGCATTTTATTGCTACCGTCTATTATTTCCGACAAAAATGAGCTTTTTGATTTCAACAAGAAAGTTTAAAATAAACGAGTTAAAATTTATTTTTCAAAATTAGCTCTTTAATTTGATAAAAGTTACTATAATTTATTTAATTATATTATATTATTAAAATCTGAGTAAATTGATCTGTATGGGGAAAATATAGTATCGACAATAACATATATAATCTTTTTTCTATGGCAAGCAGAAATGCATTATTTTTCTAAGGGCTAATTATTATAAGAACTTCCATATCTTATTTCAAATAAATGTTTAAGAGAGAAATCACTTTATTTGTCACATTGTATATACATCTTTTTGAACATAAAATCTTAATTTCAATTTAACATCTGTGAACAGAAATTTAAAATTTTTGACATTAGTAAAGAATATTTGACAACTAAAATTCGAAAAATATCAGAGATCGATATTTAAGTTAAAATATATAAGAAACTCAGGTACAGTGTTATGTTACGTGTACGTGACAAATTAAATATTTTCAACTTGTCGTTATTCGAAATATTTCCATTTAAATACATCAAAATATTTTTCTTTAATATCAGAAATAACAATTCTAGGATAGTAACTGTGACGACAAGAAAGTGAAGTTCAGAAAATTCTTCGCTCAAAAAATTTTTCGAGAATTTCGATTGTTTTAATACTCCAAATATTTGATAATAGATTTTATTGTGTAATAAATTAACGAAAATGGTAAATCAATATCAAAAGATAAACCAATATGAACCAGAAGAACATGAAATACTCGAATTGTCCTCTAGAACAGACCCGACATTTCCAGACAGTAATCCTATTGATTTTGTATGCCAATATTGTAACGAAGGTATGTATTCTTCTTATAAAATGAAAAAAAATTACCTGTGAATTCTCCAAAATTTCTAATAGAAATCATTAATTTTTTTTATTCTTAAACTTATGTATAATTAAACTTATGTATAATTAACTTATGTATAATTAACTTATGTATAATTAAATTTCACAGAATGTTTAATTTTTCATTAATTTGTTAAATATCGCACATGCAATTATTACTTGTCAAATCTTGCAAAATCAAATAAATGTCAATTTGTTTATGGCAGATGATAGTATGGGAAAACTTATACGTCCATGTAAATGCATTGGCGAGTTTATGCACATTGATTGTTTAGAGATTTTGGTCAATATCGGAAATGTTTCTCATTGCATAAATTGTAAAACTCCCTTCCCGCTGGAATATGAGCGCAAACCATTAATAGAAGTAAGTTATACGAAAAATTGAGAATTGTAATATATGTCTCAAATGAAATAGTTTGGCTCCAAAAAGAACTTAATGTTTTCAAAATAAATTATTACTTCAAATTAACAAATCCGTTTTGAAAGAAATATATATATATATATTCCATAAAATAAAAAAAGTTCAAATCGATATCATATCGAAAACTTGTCATAATCATACTAATATATCAATATATCACAAGAATTAGAATTTGATAGCAATATATTATTCTCATGATTATATATGATTCTCATAATTATAAAGCGGATTTATTCATTAAATTAATATATAAATAATTATTATAGAATGAATTGTATTATAGAATATTGTAAAGTGTAACAGAATATAATAGATAACATGCGAGAATTAAGAGAACAGTAAAGAATATAGAAGTAATATAAAAGATAAATTTCAATATTGCCTTAGAATTTTAGTGATGAATTTATTGATTTAATTCTTAATAATTTTATTCAAAGAGATATTAATTACATAATATTATATTCATCTTTGGCAGTGGTGTAGAAATGGGCATGCGGAATTGCGTGATACATTAGGAAAATTCTGTATTTTTCTTATTGTAACAATAGGTATAATGATCTATAATATAGGTATCCTTGTCTTTATCGGATTATTATGTACAGTTATTGATTTCTCAAAAACTAAAAATATTGACATTTCCATTATAGTCATCTTTTTGATTATATGCGATATAATTATTATTATTTTATCTATAAATTATGAAGTAAACCTAGTGATCAATAGTAGTAAAAGGTATGTTTGAATAATTAACTTTATAATTTATTTTTGTATTTAATTTTACGCTTAATTATTAAACATTTATGAAAAATTATATTTCAGTTTATGCACTTCATATGTTAGCATATCTTATAATTTATATCACCTTAATTTTAGTGTTAATTATAACTGATAGATTTGTAGCATTTTTCTCATAAATTATATAAAAATAGCATTTTTCTCATAGTTAAAAAAAATATGGATTTAGTTAAATAAAATCCAACGTTTCTAATTTAATTTCAAATTTATTTATAACAAATTTAATTATGAAAATGATTAATGTTAGAAATTTAAAAGTTAAAAAAGAAAAATTAACTTTAATTTGATTAATGAAATATGTAGAAAAAAAGATAAATTGATAAGCTCTATACATTAATAAAGTTATATTTATCAAATAAAGAGCATTTCAAACATGAAATATTAAAAATGTTTTAACAAATATAATAAAAAATTTACAAAGCAAGTAAAATAAATTCTCCATTTTATTTCTTATTTGTTTTCAGATTACAGTATGCTTATCATATGTGGTGTAGAGAAAATAGTGACGCAAAAGTGATAAAAAGTCTGCGTTAATGAAGTCACAACTTTATAAGTTGTACATATCTTATTACTCGATATATTCTTATCTCTCCTGTAACAAGATTATCAAAATGACATCATTATAATGAAGTAATGCAACAACGAAGTGATGATAGAATGGCTTATTAAAACAATTTATAATTTTACGAAGGAATAAGCTTTTTACGATAGAATAAACACTTGTTTTATTCTTATGTCTTAAGAAATAATTTATTAAATGTCAAAATTAATTCAAAAAAATTACTTTTTACATTAACATAAAGAAGAATTCCTGAAACTATTATTTTTGGAAGTGTAAAGGAAAATAATAAATGACTAGAAATATGTGTAGATTCTAAAAACATATAAATAGATTACGTATATCGCCTTTCTATTCGATATATTCAATATATTTTTGATGTATATATACAAAAAAATGTGTTAAAACATATTTACACATTTTTTTTGTTATATATTAATAAAAATACAAATAAGAATTTATATTCAGAAAATTTTTGATTATAAATTTTCAATGTAATTGAGGAATACGCATGAAAATGCTCAAAGAGATAAGTATATTGTGCAATAAATTATGTAAATTGAAACAATATAAATGAAATATGTTTTGGAAAATTTTTAGATTACATTGGTTAATTTAATAATTTTTATTTTATTTTTTATGCTAATTAATTCAATTATTAATTAAGAATTGAAATAAATAAATTCTTACGTTATAATTGATTAATTAACTTAATTAAATGATGTTGTATAATCGCAGCATCTCAAAATTCTGAAAACATAGGATAGAAATGTATGTAATCACTGTTGGTTTAGATCTTAGATATATATGCATATGCGTATATATGATTCTCAATATGTAATAGAAAAAGTTTATTTCGATTTTGGTTTATTTGTGAACATATGATTCATACATTTTTCATAAAGTGTATTCTGAATACAAAGAAAATGTATGTAATTTCCCATTATTTAAACATTTTTAGAATCTACATATATTCTTAGAATTGATGTTATAAAATTGTTTTCTGTATGCGAAAATAAAAAAATGTCATGTTTTTAAGCGTTTTACAAATATATGTATTTGATTGTAATTATTTTCATGCGTTTGTTTATTTCATAAATAATTATTTTGTATTATTGAACAAAAAAATTTAGTATATCTATATATTTTATAATAATTGCTCAAAATTTATATCATCAAATAGCAGACTATCGTAAATCATAGAATATATTTATGCATCATATATCGGCTAGTTAAAGATGCCAACGTAGAATTTCAAGTGATGCGTAAGCATGACTATCGTAATTAGTTATGTTGAAAGGCATTTGCCATTTTTCAGCTGAAGCTAAAAGACAGAAAAATCTGTACATGCAAATCCGAAATTGATTAATTTGATATTGAAGTGATATTGAAGTAATCCATCAACAAATTCTCTCTTGAAGTGATAATCCATCAACAAATCCAACAACAAATTTTATATCCCTACAAAAATTTCCAGTGGAAAATTATATTATAATTATTGTTATAAAATACTTTCGACAATAGTAATTTTCATAATAGAAAATATAGTATTGAATAGCTTATATAATCTTTTTCTATATATAAGAAATAAATTCTTATTTTTCTAAGAACAGTTATTATTAAGATTTCTTTCTCTTATTTCAAATAGATGTCTGTTTAATGAAAAAATCAGTTTATTTGTCGCATTGTATATACATTTTGATTTAAAAATTGATTTAAAATTTGATTTAAAAATAAAATCTTAATTTAAATTTGACATCTGTACTTTAAATTTTTTTATATAAGTAATGAATATTTGATAACTGAAATTCCAAAAATATCGAAGTTTCAGTTAAAATTTATAATAAACTCAAATTTAATATTTAGGAATAGTGTTATGTTACACGTACGCGTCAAGCTAAGTATTTTCAACTTGTCGTCATTTAATATGTTTTTATTTATTAAAATATTATACATCAAAATATTCTTGTGACAGTTTTAGGATACCACTCGTGGCAAAAACGTGAAGTTCAGAAAATTTTTAGAGCATTTCTATCGTTTTGTTATTTCAAACATTCTATAATAGATTTTATTGTATAATTGTATAATAAATTAACGGAAATGGCAAATCAATATGAAATAGTAAACCAACATGAGTTGAAAGAATATGAAATGCTTTATCTTGAAAATGAATTATCTTCAAAGATAGAACCGACCTTTCCAGAAAGTAATTCTATTGTTTTTGTATGCCGATATTGTAACGAAGGTATGCACATCCTTTTTATCAAATAAAAAAAAGATATCTTTTAAAATTTATAATAGAAATTTTGATTAGATTTTGTTCTTAAACTTATGTTTCTTATAACGTTGACATTATACTCGTAGTCAAAGATTTAATATTTAGATGTTTAATTTTTAGTTAATTTGTTATTTAATATCGTATATGATTGTTACTTGTTAAATATCATAAAATCAAATGTATGTAAATTTGCTTGTGACAGATGACAGTAAGGGAGAACTCATACGTCCTTGTGAATGCACTGACGATCAAAAATTTACACACATTAATTGTTTAAGGACTCTGGTCAGAGCTAGGAGGACCTTTCATTGCATACATTGTAATACTCCTTTTCCGCTAAGATTTAGAAACAAACCATTAATAATGGTAAGTCGGTAATAATGAAAGAGTTAAGAATCGCGAGATGTTTGTCAAATAGTTTGGGAAACTTTAAAAAGAATTAAATGTTTCCAAAATGGATTGTTATTTTATTTTAACAAAAGTGTCTCTTGCAATAAATAATTATATATTTTATAAAAAAATGTGCAAATTAACATACTTAAAATGACACTCTGATCATGCTAAATATTAAAATAGAATTTAGTGTATATTGTTCAATATATTGTTCACATGATAAATTATAAAGCACTTTACTATTTAACTTAATGAAGTTATTTACTTATTCTATAACAGTAGTAAGTGGGGCACTATGGCGCGTCAAAACAAACCCCCACCACCTTCCCACTGGCGCCAGGGGCGTGGCCGAAAATCGGCAGTCGCGTGGAAATGGAGCGTTCTGATTGGTCGGTGGGGATCGGTGATGATAATTAGGTAATTAGTGGGAGCGTTCTGATTGGTTGGCTCCGTAGCTGCCAGACGCGTGATTGGCTCTACCCATAGTGCCCATGCGCGCGATTGGTTGTCGAAATGCTAGACGAGGTAGGGGAAGGGTGAGAAAGCGTCTGGGACCGATCGGAGTCCGAAAACAAAATGGCGACTGCGAAAAGAAATATGTCTGTAAGAGGAATATACTTGTCGAGAATGGAATGCGATTTTTTTGTCGCGTGGGATGGAGCGAAGAGAAGAAACCGATTTTTCTGGAATTTTATTGGTTGTATACGGGATATGAAGAATTACGTTTTTCTAGGG